GGAAAGACTTGTACTATCCATGGTATACAGAGTTTGTGCAGTCGGAGTGGGAGGAGTTGATTATGCGTTTCAGGAGCGAACACTTGGTGGAGTCATACACAGGTCAAACTTATCTAGTCAAGTGGTACAGACAATGCTACAAGAGTACTTTGAGGGAAATTTGGGAGCGGTTCTTGGTGTTTGAGGTACGCGCTTACGGAGCCGTTGTGTGCACTAAAGACATTGGAGATGTCTGTTTTTTCCTCTCCTCCAAAGGTGAATCTTTCTGTCTCCAGGCTAGCTTGTATGGTCTATCACCAAACTGCATCTATTACGTGGACAGCTATGACTTTGGAAAAGTCAATGTAGGCGATAGTGTTAGGTCGGGTGGTGAAATTCTCACTTGCCAAGCCCCCTACTTCATTCCACCTCCTCAAGACTAGCTAATGACTTTATGTAATCTAATGCCTTTACTTAATCTTAATCCAAAATTTTATTGAATGAGAGAGGTCATGTATGGATTTATTATGGGAATACTGTTTGGTTTGTTTTTTTGTAAGGATGGTTGAAGTTGTTGATTGTGCTCTGTATTTGTACAAAGTTGCAGAGCAAGCAACAATGCTATCAAAGCTACCCAAGTCGCATGGTTAGTCAAAAGCAAGATTTGAAACCTTAAATATTTTTTGTTTTTTTGGTCACAATCTATTGAAACCTTATACGTTTATCTTAACATTAATTCCAAAGTATTCATACGTTTGCTAGAGAGTTTTGATTAATTCAATTCTTGTCTTTTTGATTCAGTTATGGTAAACAAATATAGGTCGACGACTATAAGACTAATCATAGAAAGCAGAATGTATAAATTCATAAACGGGCCAGAGTGGGCTTTAGCTAAATGTTTAATATATAAATGGAAACAGAGGAACTAATTAAAAGGGAGGACCACAGGAACACTGTTGATAAGGTAATAAATAGACTTGGTGGGCAAGGCCAACCATCTTTATTTCGAGACTTGACTGCCAAGGCTATTCACCTCTATTACCATATAAGGAAAACACTGTTTCATCTTCTGTTTTGTCACTATTGTATCTTCTGTTCACCGGAAACACTATCAATGAGGTCTCTGCTTCTAAGCCGACTCTCCAAGCTTTGTCTGATAAAACCCCCTCCGCATGGAGTTGTAAGCATTTA